AAAAAAAAAAAAAAAAAAAAAAAAAAAGAAATTTTGGAAGAAAACGATTAATTGCTATGGCCACGGGGCTGAGAGGGAAGAACAGGGTAGGTGGGGAACTGTATATGTTTTAGATTTTTTTAACCATAAATACAGATTATCTATACAAAAATTAATTTTTACAAAGGCTTGTGGGCTAGGCTCTCCACACACTCGCCTGGCCCACCTGTCCACCACCACTTCCACACAGCATTCAGGCTGTGTGTCCCCGAGAAGGTCTTCTATGAGGTCACACCCTTCTGTGTCATGCTTCTTACCTGTTGGAAGTTGTAACTATGCTCTGAACTATTAGTTTCCTTTCCTCTAGATGAATTAGACAGTAATATTTTGCACCGAGCCCCACAGAAATTTAGTGGCTTGTTAAATGTCACCAGGGAGCAGAGCTGGAGCTTAAACCTCCAAATCCCTTCTCCCCACTGTGCTGTGCTGCCTCTTACAGCTCCTAGCAACTCCAGTCCCTGGAGATGAGTGACGATGTGTCCTTTGGCTTTCTGTATCTCCTAACACAGTTCGGTGACAGACAATAACATGCTATAGGAAGGAAGGGAGAAGACAGGAAATAAGGAAGGGAGAAGAGAGATAGCGAGGGGTGAGAGAGAGACACACTCACTCTTGCAGAGACCGGTCTGAATCATCAGCATTTGCTGTGCCCAGGTCTGAGTCGTAGGACATGGGCTCCTCAGAGCGGTCTGGACTCTTGGAGCCATTCTCTTGAAGTAGGCAGCTATCAGAGTTTAGGCTGCAGGACAGCTGGGATGAACTGGCTGTGTCCAGGCTGAGAGAGGAGGCAGTGAGCTTCCTGTTCCGCCGGATCTTATGGCCTGAGTGCTGGACTTCGATGTCCTCTGAGCCTGAGGAATGGGAAATTGAATCCAGAGACTCCTTCCGCTGTAGCTCTGCACCAGAGGTAGAGAGAGGGTCGAGCTCAGAGAGTGGGCAAAGCCCAGAGAGGGCTAATGGGGTGAGTGTCCACTCGTTTAAGATGGCGGACTTGTAGGAGAGCTCAAAGGACAGGGACGTTAGTCCCTGCAGGAAGCTAAGAAGGAACTCGCCCTCCTCAGCATCTCGAAGCAGTGCTGTAGGCTGATAGTACTCGCACAGTCGGGCCTGTTCCTGGAGGAGCAGCTTCAGGTAGCACTCCATCAGACCGTCGTTGAGGGCCAGCCGCAGCCACGCCCGGCAGCGGCCTACATCCGTGTTGACAAAGAGCAGGTGCTCCAACTCCGAGATGATGTGCCTGGAAAGGGGAGAACAGACCTGTTTCAAGAAACTACCTCACCTTATTGACACGGCCTTTTATCTACTAGATAGCAAGAACCAAGAGTAACGACTGCAAATATACATACGCATGAAAAATTCTTGCATAATAGTGTTTGAAGAAGAATATGGAAATATTAAGCCATGGTCCCCAACTTTGAGGTTGGTGTCACAAAGGGTAATTGCCATGTTCATTACCCCTTGGGCCCCTGACATCACCTGCTCAGCCAAGGCCTGTTTGCAAAGCTCCCTAAGGGCAAGGTCCTTGGAGCTCTGAAGATACAGGATATAGACATGGTCCCTGTCCTCAGTCCAAGAAACTGACTTTCAAGGGTGTATTGAGGCCTTTTCATCAGTAGCTAGGGTCAGGGGCTGGGCAATCATGTGTCAGTTGGAATAAGAAAGTGTAGTATGTAAGCTGGGCTCTGAGGCAGTTCAGAAGGCAAAGATAGAGGAAGAACCTTCTAGTCATAAGGGACTGACAAAAACAGGCATAAAGGGGAGGAAACCTACAGTCCTGTACCAGGAGTGAGGACAGCTCTGATTATAATGCATGAAGGAAGAGTGAGCGATTCAGTTGCAAAGCCAGGTAAATGAGGGCTTTGAATGTCAAGCTGATAGTGCAACCCGGGGCAATGGTCTCCACATTGGGCTGTGCATCAGAATTTCTGGGACCTTGAGCCAGATGCAGAATCTGGGGCCCAATCTAGTCAGACTCCATCTAGGAGCCTGTGGGCAATGGGTTTTTACACAGAGAAGTGACTGGACCACAGCCATGCAGGCTGCAGGGTGGATGCTCTGGATAAGGAGATCAGAGCACAGGTGTACCAAACCCAGTTCCTGAATCCCTCTGTCTGAGGTAAATGCCCCTCCTGAGCCAGCCCCTGTGCACATCTCCTCCGGGGGTGTGCAGACCACATTCTACTGGACTCAGTGAGGGAGCTCCAGGTGCTGAAGCTTGGTGAATGCAGACTAGTGGATGGACTTACAGAAAGACAGAGTGAGATAAGGGGGACAATAGAAAGTCACTGTCACCCAGGAGAGAGGTAAGAACCGGAGACAGGGCAGAAGCAGTAGGCATGGAAAAGATCACAGACTGACAAGGCACCTTCGGGCTGAAGGTGACATTCAATAGCTCTTAGAGGCATAGTGCCAGCTATCTGCTCAAAGGCCTAGGCAGTTAGGGGCAAGGTCAAAAAGATAAGTGTCTCAGGGCTAAATATTCAGATATTTTCACTCTTCATAAAAATGATAACATACCTCATTATGGATATAATATTTACAACATAGATATTCAAATACTCTAAGCCAAGATCAGTGAACCTTTTTCTGTTGAGGGCCAGGGAGTAATACTTTAGGCTTTGTAGGCCACACTATTTCTGTTGCAACTATCCAACTCTACCATGGTTCTGCTAACGGTGACCAGCCTTAAGCCTCAAAGCAGCCATAGGCTCTTGCATGAGGGCCAAGGTCTTCTGGCATGCTGGTTGGGAAGCTTGGTCAAGAGATGAAAACTCTCTCCCACTCGCCACCTCCTAGCTCTACACTGGAACACAGGGTGTCTCTGTTGGCTTTCTGCCCGCACAGCTGGAGAGGAAAAGACTAGCATCCCACACTCTGAAGCTCCTCCCCAAAGCAAAACCTTTCCAGCTGATCTCACTTGTGGGTGACAGCTTTCAGGAGGGGCCAGAAGACAGGCTGAGGCAGAGGCTTCTGGTGGGCACTTTTCTTCCTTTTTCCTCCAGCCTCAGCTCGGATGTGCTTGGCATGCAGGCCGTGGATAAACACGGCTTCCAGGGCACTGCACATGGTATTGGCATCTCCGTCTTCGCTAGTGACCACAGTGTCCAGGGACACGTACTGCTTCTGCAGTGCCTTCACAGATCCCACCAGCTTCTTCTTGATGACCTAGGCCAAACAGAACACAGACCATTAGGGGGAAATCCTAAGGAGAGCCCCTGAACTGTAACTTTTTGTCTGTCATTAAATACACCTGCAACCATGCACACACACTTGTCTATGTACCGATAGATCTCTTCTGTAAAATTAACACATGCTAATCATAGCAAATACAGATGATTGTAGAGAACAAAAGGAAAATCACCCTTACACTGCCCGGAGATAACTACTACTACTGTTTTACATGTCCTTCACTGTGGGCCCTTTTTATTTTTTTTGAACTCAAGTGAACTTACAGCCATATACTCTGTGTTTAAATACTGACTCCAGTATAGTTACAGCTATGGGAGCTCGGACAGGTGAGAGGCTTCCCTTAGTTATATGGCCAAGATTCTGCAGAGAATCAATCAGCTTAGAAGGAAAAAGTGCTGCTTGTAGAACAATAAAAACATCAAGAAAATGAGCATAGTCTACATTCAAAAATATCCTAGGCCTGGGCTCGGTGCCCATGATCAGTGGTTAGGGTGCCAGCCACATATACCAGGGCAGGCAAGTTTGAACCTGGCCAGGGCCTACTAAACAATGACAGCTAAAACAACAACGAAAAAATTGCTGGGCGTTGTGGCAGGTGCTGGTAGTTCCAGGGGGCTGAGGCAAGAGAATCGCTTAAGCCCTAAGAGTTTGAGGTTGCTGCGAGCTGTGACACCACAGCACTCTACCGAGGGTGACATAGTGAGACTCTATCTCAAAAAAAAAATCCTAGGCCTGAGAACCAGAGGCCTAGATGTAGTCCTAATTGTCTACCAGTGGGATCTCTTCAGACATTTCACTTAATCTCTTTGAGCCTCAATTTCCTCATCTGTTAAGTAGGAAAATTCTTCCTGATCTACAGCACCAGGGGCATCACTCTTAGAGGGCATGACCAGGTTTTTATTCATTTTTGTGCGCCTGGCACATTAAAGTATTTAGTGAATATTTGTTAAATAAATACAAACAAAGTGTACATGAAGTCTTTTGGAAATACAGAGTAAAAATTCTTTAGTCATAATTATGTCAAAATCACACAAATGTTTGGAAAAGGACTGGAAAGGATTGAAGAAAAACTAGCTTGAATTATTGGGTTATAACCACTATGGATAAAATATTTTACTTTTTCATTTTGATTTTAGCCAAAACATTAAAGTTTTCAAGGTTCATCCATGTTGCAGAATAGATCATTCCTTTTTTAATTTTTTTGAGATAGAGTCTCATTCTGTTTCCCAGGCTAGAGTGCTGTGGCATCAGCCTACATCATAACAACCTCAAACTCCTTGGTTAAAGCAATCCTCCTAAGCAGTTGGGATTTCAGGTACCTGCCACAACACCTAGCTAATTTTTCTATTTTTAGTAGAGACGGGGTCTCACTGTTGCTTAAGCTGGTCTCCAACTCCTGAGCTCAAGCAATTCTCCTGCCTTGGCTCCCAGACTGCCACTGTGCCTGGCCCGGATCATTCCTTTTTGTGGAGACAGAGCCTCAAGCTATCCCCCTGGGTAGAGTGCCATGGCATCACAGCTCACAGCAACCTCCAACTCCTGGGCTCAAGTGAGTCTTCTGCCTCAGCCTCCCAAGTAGCTGGGACCACAGGCACCCACCACAATGCCTGGCTATTTTTTTTGGTTGCAGCTGTCATGTTGTTTTGGCGGGCCCAGGCTGGATTTGAACCCAACACCTTAGGTGTATGTGGCTGGCACCTTAGTCACTTGAGTCACAGGCGCCGAGCCAGATCATTCCTTTTTATTGTTAAATAATATTCCTTTATATAGGCTCAGTACCTGTAGCTCAAGCGGCTAGGGTGCCAGCCACATATAACAGAGCTGGTGGGTTTGAATCCAGCCCAGGCCTGCCAAACAACAATGACAACTACAAACAAAAAATAGCTAGGCATTGTGGCAGGTGCTTGTAGTTCCAGCTACTTGGGAGTCTGAGGCAAGAGAATCTCTTAAGCCCAAGAGTTGGAGGTTGCTGTGAGCTGTGATTTCATTGCACTCTACCGAGGGTGACACAATGAGACTCTGACTTTTAGAGATGAAGTCTTGCTCTTGCTCAGGCTAGTCTCAAATTCACGAGCTCAAGCAACACACCTGCTTCAGCTTCCCAGCCACTGTGCCCAGCAAGAAATCTGATTTTAAATGTTCTTTTAAATGCAAGATATTGTTAGTATTATTACATAAAAAGTACATATACTTCATTCAACTGAGCACCTACTCGGTGTTAGGTTAGATATGCAAGGATAAATAAGGTAGGAAACTCACACCCTCCCAGTCAGTCCAGCATAAGCAGCCCTTATTAGAAGGCAGGGCTGGCCCAGGGCGCTGCCCTACCCTGGGGTGGGATGCAGAATGTACCCTGGGGGAGTGGGTTGTACATAAAAGCCAGCTAGGGCATAGGTGGAACAGGACTCTCCACTGGCCAGGCATGGGAAGCCGTATCTCTGAGAGCTGCTGTTCCTTTCAAATAGAAAGTTCTCTGACTTGGGGAGCAGCAGTGGGAAAGAAAGGGACATCTGGTTTCTCCCCCAAAGCTACCTCAGGGTTCCCTTGAGGAACCAGCCCCAAATCTGCTTGACCTCTTTCCTCTCTGAAGGAATTGACAAAGCTTTGTCCACAGAGTAAGATTGCCCACTGCCCAGCAGGGTACAAAGGGATCCCCAAGAGAGGGAATCTCTGGGGACTCTGGTAAACTGGCTACAGACAATTGTGTTTGGAAAATCCTAGAAAATTGTAAAAAAAAAAAATGGTTTTTGCTAGCACCTTATCTCTTTATTGAAACAACAAACTGATGCCTGGGAATATTTGACTCTGACCAATTTGAAGCATTGGCCAAATCACAGCCTACAGGCAGAGGGCTGAACGTGTGAATGCAAATCCTCAGGCTTGGGCAGTGCCTGCGGCTTAGTGGGTGGGGCGCTGGCCCTAAGTACCAAGGGTGGTGAAGTAAAGCCCAGCGAGGCCAAACTGCAACAATAACAAAAAATAGCCGGGTGTTGTGGCGGGTGCCTGTAGTCCCAGCTACTCGGGATGTTGAGGCAAGAGAATCACCTAAGCCCAGGAGTTGGAGGTTGCTGTGAGCTGCGACGCGACAGCACTCTACCTAGGGCGATAAAGTGAGACTCTGTCTCTAACAAAAGAAAAGCAAATCCTCGGGCTTCAGGTAACCTGTCTTAAATTCTCATTTCTTTTCTTTTAATAAATTCCCATTTTATCACCATTAAGATGGTCCTACAAAGGGGAGGATCTCCTTGGAACCTGCTTCTCCTATAATTCCCTCCCCTTCTCTTTCTGGACAGTGGTCATCATCTAAAAAGTAAGACAAACTGATGAAATAGCTGCCCCTTACAGCCCTTTCCCACCTTGATTCTCCCCTGCCCACCTACCGGGATGGCAGCCCGGGGGTCCAGTCCATTCTCCACCACTGAGAGCATTTCCACTCTCGAAGCAGCTCCCACAGAGAATCACATGACACCTGCAGAGACAGATGGCAGCCAGATGAGCAAGCTCCCAACTCACCCCCAGCCAGAGTCCTTTCCCAGCAGGTCAGCTCCTCTTATGCAAACTATAACAGAAAGACCTTTGGGGAATATAAAAGCAAAAACTGACAGTGGATTTTAAGGAAGGAAGTAAGAAAGGAAACCAAGCCACAGGGCTCAGTCCTTGAGAGGTGAGAAGCACTGGCTGTGGGGTGAGTCTACTCCAACGAGTGCGGGATGAGGGCTCTTCACCACACCAAAAGCTGCACAGAAAGCCAGGGCCCTATGGGGTCATGGTGCAAGAAAGAAGAGGCTGATTCAGAGAGAGAGAGAGAGAGAGCTCAGGGTGTGACTGGCATGCTGTCACTGAAGGTGCTGAGAACCTGCTGGGGTTCACAAGTCACATTCAGGGCCTAGGCAACACCCTGCCCCCTGCCACCCACTCCTGTCCCAGTCCAACCACCAGCTCAACTGTGAAAAGTGCAACTGGAAGAGCTTCAGAAGGGAAGGGCTCTCTTGCCACACTTCTGCTTCTCCTTTGAGCTCTGATGGCTTGGCTTGAGCAGCACAGGGGCACATCTAAATGGGAACACCACTCCCCAGCTAGGTATGCTCAGGTGTGGTATCAGACCTCTCAGATGGGGAGTCTAATGTGTAAAACACCTGCTACAAGCTGACATGTATCAACTATAAATGGCTGATGAACTTGGCCATAACAATCTATATGTAAAGAATGCTACTATCTAAAAGAGCATGTAGAATAGTTGAAGTCCACTTAATCTCTCTGGGTAGCTGGCTTCCTCCGGGGGTAGGGGGTTGGAACTTTGATCTGAGCCTGAGGGAGGCTGTGGGCTGGCCTGGCTTCCCCCTAGCAGCTTGGACAAATCAGGGCTGTGCAAGAACATCACATCTAAACCAATCTCGACACCCTGCTGACTATCAGGGAAACACCAAAACCATCAAGGCACAAAGAAGTTAATAAAATCAATGAATCTAGGCCAGGTGAGGGGGCTCACACCTCTGGCTTCCCAGAGCTCAGGAGTTGGAGACTAGCTTGAACAAGAACAAGACCTCATTTCTACTAAAAATAGAAAAACTAGCTGAGCATTTGTGGTGGGTGCCTGTAGTCCTAGTTACTCAGGAGGCTCAAGCAAGAGAATCTCTTGAGCCCAGGGTTTGAGGTTGCTGTGAGTTATGATGCTTCTGCATTCTACCCAGGGTGACTAAGTGAGACTCTGTTACAAAACAAACAAACAAAACCCAAAACCAAACCAAACCAAGGAATAGCCAATGCAGTGGCTCACACCTGTAATTCTAGCACTCTTGGAGGCAGACGTTGGAAGATCCCTTGAGCTCAGGAGTTTGAGACCAGCCTGAGGAAGAGTGAGACCCCATCTCTACCAAAAATAGAAAAAGGAGCCAGGTGTTGTGGTGGGCGCCTCCAGCTACTCAGGAGGCTAAGATAAGAAATCTCTTGTACCCAGGAATTTGAGGTTGCTATGAGCCACGGCCCTCCGGCCTGGGAAACAGAGTGAGACTCTGTCTCAGAAAAAATAAAAACAACCTCCCCTCCCAACCGCCCCCCCCCCAGGTATGTTAAATGGGTTCTATTCTCTTTACACTCATTGCCTCATTTATATTCCTCCCAGGGATTCTAGTGGTGCTGTTTTATTATCTCTACCTGACATATAAGGAAAGAGAAGCTGACCTAGGTCAAGGAATTTTCTAAGATCCCAGTGCTGACTCCACCATCAGCCCCCAGGAGTAAGCCAGCTCCAGCTCTAGGGAAAGCCCAGATTCCCGGGTGTGTGCAGCACCTCAAAGCCTGGGGTGAGCTTGGAGGAGGACACTTCAGCTGGGGGCCCAGGGAAGGGAGAACATTTAGGCTAGTCTGGTGGAAAACGTTTCCAGGAGAGCACTGGAGCATGAGGTTTGGAAAGGAAAGAGGCAGACTGACCCTGCATGGTAAAAGAGCCTCTGATTCAATCTGCAGACCCTGGAATTGGCAGAGGGCAAAATGGGATTCAGAGCAGACCTCCCAGTTCAGGCCCCACAGAGGAAGGAGGAATATGTAGAGGGAGGGGGGTCCCTGTAGACCCACCTCCAGTCAGGTTTGGCCCCCATGTGACTGTGCCACCCTTAACCGCATTCTCTGTTCCCAGGGAATCTCAGGACCCTCCTCTGGAGATGAGCTCCAACTCTGGCCGTGGTACAGTCACAAGAGTCATTCCCAGAAACATACCTGGTCCTGAGGTTGGGCTCCTTCAACGCTACCCTTGTGCAGCCCAGCAGACCAAGTCCAGCTTCTCTGGATCTAAAACCCCAGGCTTTAATTCCAATACACAATTCCAGCAGCTCAGGCCCACCCTTCTAGACCAGTTTTTTCAACCTTTTTTTTTTTTTTTTTTTTATCTCATGGCACTCTCGAACCTATAAACTTCTGGGGCATGCTTAAATTATGTTGATCAAAAAGAGGAGTAAGAAAAAGAATATACTTACTGTGCCTTGAACTTCTTTCAAAAATAATTTAATTAATGCTAAAAATTTTCGTGGCAGGGTGGTACCTGTGGCTTAAAGGAGTAGGGTGCCAGCCCCATATACCAGAGGTGGTGGATTCAAACCTGGCTCCAACCAAAAAAAAAAAAAATTTTTTTTGGTGGCACACCAGTTCAAAATCACTTTTCTAGACAGAGCCTTGAAGCTCCAAAGTTGCCCATCCCTTAACTAGCTACAAGGCCAGGACCCTAAAGGGCTCAGAGCACAACAATCTGATAAATAGCCGGAACCCATTAGGCCTCATTAATTAATTAGCTGAGAGTAATATTCATGGGGGGGGGGCATCAGCAAGTGGGTGCTCTGGTCAAGTAACAGTCTCCAGAGAAAACAAAGTAAACTAAAACCAAGAGAGTCAGGGTAAGACCAAACAAGAGACAAGTTAACTGTCACCTAAAACAAAATGTCAGAAGTGAAAAAATGACTGACAACAGCTCAGAGGGATCCAGGAGAAATAGCACTTGAAAATGCACAAAATATGGCTCGGTGCCTGTAGCTCAAGCAGCTAAGGCACCAGCCACATACACCAGAGCTGGTGGGTTTGAATCCAGCCCCAGCCTGCCAAACAACGACAACTACAACCAAAAAATAGTCGGGCGTTGTGGCGGGCGCTTGTAGTCCCAGCTACTTGGGAGGCTGAGGCAAGAGAATTGCTTAAGCCCAGGAGTTGGAGGGTGCTGTGAGCTGTGATGCCAGAGCACTCTACCCAGGGCGATAGCTTGAGGCTCTGTCTCAAAAAAAAAAAAAAAAGAAAGAAAAAGAAAAGAAAAGAAAATGCACAAAATAGGACTGAGACTGAAACTTTGGGGTTTAGGCCACAATTCAGGATACTTCCCTTTGTAGGAAGCCAAAGCACCCTACTGATTTGTGTCTGCTCTATGGAACAATACTTGAGGAGGCAAGACTCTACAGTCAATGACGAAAGAATTCACTGTTGGAACCAGAAAGAGGCTTGGGTGTTGGGACTGTTGGCTCAGCATCCTATTATCTGGCTGAGTGGCCCAGATCCCAAATCTATCATTGTATGAGACTGGTTTTGCTAGCTTCATTTTCCTCACTGGTGCTCAAAACACTCTTCATTGACACCCAGAACCATACTAAAGACAGTTGTGGCTCCAAGGAGACCCACACAGAAGGAAGTGAGGGGAGAACTTGATTCATCCTTATACAACTCCCCAGAGTACACAAAGCAAAATTCTCTGATCTCATCCTCTAACCTCATTTAATTCATACAACAATCCTGTGAGAGAAGAATGATTAACCCTGTTTTACATAGGAGAAAACTGAGGCTTAGTGGAAATAGACCTCAGGGAAGAGACAGAATTCTCTAGTTTCTTCATTCTTTTTTTTTTTTTTTGAGACAGAGTATCACTATGTTGCCCTTAGTAGAGTGCTATGGCATCACAGCTCACAGCAACCTCTAATTCTTGGGCTTAAGGAATTCTTTTTCCTCAGCCTCCCAAGTAACTGGGACTACAGGCACCTGCCACAATGCCCACTTATTTTTTGGTTGCAGTTGTCATTGTTGTTTGGCAGGGCCGGGCTGGTTTTGAACCCACCAGCCCTGGTGTATGTGTCTAGCGCCCTAACTGCTGAGCTATGGGCACCTAGCCTGGTTTCCTCATTCTAACACCTTAGCCCTTCATGGGACTAAACAGACTCAGGTCTTTGGCTCAAAGAATTTCAGGCAAACTATTATAGACTCTTACAGGTACTCAGAAGCTCCATTTATTCAAATAAGTTCTAAAACCAACAAGAAACAGTCTTGCTGATCAACCCAACCAGCTGAGCCCAGGTCCCTTCCATGCACCCCAAATCCCAGAACTATTCTTTCTTAAATGTTTCCACCAGTTAGGAAGGAATTGTCTCAGCTGGTTTTCTTTACTATACTGCCTGAACTTCTGCAGGTGTCCAATTTCACTTCCTCTAGAGATCCAGGAAGATAGAAAAGAGAAAAATGACTTAGAAGAGTCATTAAAAGAAGAAATGGATAACCTGGCTACAGCAGTCCCAAAAGATTCAATCCATCAGTGAACAGCACCCTCTTCAGAGACTTCTCAGCCACTCTCCACAGCCTTCCCTCTACTGCCTGAATTGCGCACCTGGCTGTTCAGAACAACAGGCTTGGCATTTAAGCCATCCAGCTGCTGTACCAATCGATGAGTCATGTTTTTTTCAGTTGGAAAAGAATGACAAAGTTATCTTCTGATTCAGAAAGGCAGCTGATCTTTCAGACATGTGAGTGCTGAGTGAGGAAGCCATATTTCCACCTGAGGATAGTTGGATTTCTGGACAAATGTCCTGTGAAAGGCAGGATGAGGTTTAAGGAGGAATTAGGCCTTTGAAGGAATCAAATACCAGGCGAAGTGTGAGAAACTAGCTTGCAATTCCCTGAACAGTGGCTAGTTTGGAAGGGCAGAATTGTGAAGTTAGTGAACACCGAGTATCTTTCTTTCCTCCCTCCATCTTTTCCTCAGATAACACCCATTTCTCCCATAGTCTGGTCCCATATACCAAAAGATTCTAATGATGACCAAATTCTGAGAGAATGAAAACAGGATCTTTGCTTGACTCATTCACCACTGTGCTTCTAGTATCTAGAATATGCTTGTGTGGTGCTCAAAAAATTACTATTGAATGAACTGATGAATAAAATAAAAACAAGGCACAGGGCATGTACCTTCATTTCACAGATTATGGAAAGTTAAGGTAACATCCTTAAGTAATGGGGCTACCCTGGAACTCCCTTCATTAAATCAAACTGCCAATAAGCTTGAAAACCATTGCAATTTTGCACCTTGATAGACAGCATTCAGATTTCAAAGGAATGAAAATATGCAAAGCAAGCAAAGACAACATTCTTTGAGGCTCTTTAAAATTGCTGTCAAATAATTGACCCTTCAGAAGCCAAGACATCAGAATTTGGAGGAAATGTGTACCAAAAAGCCCCCAGGAAACTATAAATGCTAAGTATGGGACGTGGGTGCTTCAGGAATGTCCCCCTGCCTCAGCTACTCTAACATGGCTCCCTGTGCTCAGGGAACCCAAATAGCCAAAACTCAATGATCTAGTACCTGTGAAAAGAGGAAACGATTCCGTAGCCTCTTGCCCACCTGGGCCTCAGCCTCCCTAGGACCCACTCATCTATACTCTTCACAACATGCAACATTGCCTCTGGCACCCGACATGTCCCCTGTATTCTGCGTTGGGACTGATTTACAATCAACTCCAGCAAGGAGGAGCACTGGCAGAGTCCTTTACAAGTGTCAGAACAAGGCTCACGGACAAGGGTCAACCCCACACAGAACCTCCCTGAAGTGCTCCAGGGCCAGAACACCAGCCAAAAGGGAGTAATGGCTTCCATTACTCCAGGCTGAATGAGGTGGGTGAGTAGCTATCTCTCACCTTCCAGGTATTTGAATGACACCTACCATATTCCAGCAGCCAGCACAAGTAATTTACTATGAATCCAGAAACACAATCCTTGGAGACATGTTCAGGGGACCAGACACCAGGAAAAACTCCTGCTTGATCCAAGAGGTGGGGGTGGGGGGCTCTCTCCTCCTCCACACTTATTTACCACCCCAGGTGCTGCATGCACCTATCAAGCTGCTCAGTGTCTAACTGCCTGGCTCTGAGCAAGCACCCAGACTTGGCAGTTGAGGGGCAGCTGGTGTGGTTGGTAGAGGACTCTGCACTAAGTTCTCAGATTGTATGGAAGGTGGGTCAAGGGACGAATGGGTGCAGAGTTAGGGTGAAGAGTTGTGGTAGGGACAGCAGAGATCTCCTTTGTTATAAGATTGGGTAAGGATAGTAAGAACAGGAAGAAGCAAGAGTTGGTAACAGTTTAGCAAAGACTGGGATGAGGTGTCTTCGAGATGCCTGGAGACAGAAAGGAAGTACACGGTAGGCTAGGAAATTAGGAACCAAGTCTGTGAGGACAAGGTACTTTGGGCTAAAGCTGAGATCAGAGTTATCCAGAAGAAAGGGGTAAACTCAACGGGGCATCCACTTTTGAGGTGGGTCTTAAATGAAAGGGGGCAGAGAGAGGCAGGGTGTCTGGGATGAGCAGATCTTGGACAGCTGAACAGGACGTGTGGAAGATGGGGATAAGAAAGCTCAGCCAGAAAAGGAGAAATCAGAATGGTGGATCTAGGGAAGGTAGGTGTGAAGCACCAGGATTGCCAGAGGTTCAGGGGTGAGGATGAGGTGTGCTAGAGCAAGGGGAAGGGACATGGCCGTGACGGGGATTGAACTGGGCTAAACCGGGGGTCACGAGTGAAGCTGCAAGACCGGTGGCGAGCGGATGCGGGTAAAGGCTGGAGTCGGATCATGGGTGGGAGAAGACGCGGGGAACGGACCAGCAGTGGCAGTGCGTGCCGAAGGCTGGGTCCAAGTGGGACCGGACATCGGCTGGGAAGAGCTGAGGGCTCTTGAAGCCGGACAGTCCTAAGGCAACCAAGGTTTGGGATCCCGGAGAGGGCTGTGAGCCCACAGCCCGCTCGCGTCTCGGCCCTGCCGTCCATCCGCTGCCCTCCTTCCTCCCTAACCCTTGACTCACCAAATGGAGCGGGAGCGGGCAGGGGTCGCTCCCCGCCACTGCAGTCCCTCCGCCTCCTAGCCGACGCTGCGGCCTCCCGGCCGCTGACAACAGGAAGAGGAGCCCGCGGCGCCTGACGCCATCACGCTCCGGTCTCTGCCCCGCCCCCTTCGACAGGACCAATCGCGGGGTCAGGAGGGCCCGGGGGCGGGGCCAGCTGCTGAAGGCAACAGCTGGGTCCCCGGACCTGCGGTCTGTGCAAGGTCGGGTTGGCTCCGAGAGGCGAAGGCAACGTTCCAAGCGGAACGCGTCTGCCCTGCCTCCAGCAGGTCTGCGTCAGACTAGATCCTGACTTCTGAGTTCCTGACCTCGCTCGGCCTCTGCGCCATTTGCGCAACATTTGGGCTGTCTCTTCGCCCCTCTCAGCGGAAGGTTTGCGGCTTGTGGGTGGGACCGATAACGCCTGCCCTATCTGTGCCTCCCGCTCCCAGAGGGGATTCGAAGCAGGCCGGTGGGCAGAGCCCGGCCCCAAATTGGAGCCTCCGCCTGACTCTTCCTGGAAAAACACCTTGTTTTGACCACACTTTATCCAGTAGGGCGCCTTGAGGTCCCCTTGGTCACTCGCTGATCAGCCCCGCGTGGCGTGAAGCTCACAGGTCCTCTTATTCTCTTCTGGGCATGTACTTGTATGTTTTCTCTCCGTCATTGAAGTGGCATTTCTTTTTCAAATGGATTCAGAACAAAATGTCATAAGTAGTAAAGGGGGAGAAAGGAGGTGCTGGATGTGGCGATTCCTTGGGCACTTCACACTTGCAGGCCTTGGTCAAATGGGAACCTCATAGGGCCCGAGTGTGGCAGAGGGGCAGAGCGAGGTACCACTTCAAGCAGATCCCAAGAGCGCATAGGGGCGGCTCAGAAGGAGCCATTTCTTAGAACCAAGCTCCAGACGTTGTCTAGGGAGGGACTATTTCTGTGCTCCCTCAGCCTGTCTACGAAGAAAGGTTTCCCTCATCTCTACAAAGGTCGGGGTCAGGGTCCTGCTTCCTTTTATAAAACTGGCTGTTGGGGGGTGTGACCCCAGACTGTTTGGGGCCTGCCTCTTCAGTAATTCTCTTCCCAAGAATGAAAACCCCCTCTTCAGTTTTAGGGTAGGTAGGTCTGAGTGTGTACTTCAATACTATTATTGGCTGAGCAGGAAGATGGGAAATAAGGACAGAGATAAACTATTCTCTTGGTACAATTTATTTTACTTTTTTTTTTTTTTCAGAGACAGAGTCTCGCTTTGTCACTCTAGGTAGAGTGCTGTGGCATCACAGCTCACAGCAACCTCCATCTCTTAGGCTTAAGTGATTCTCCTGCCTCAGCCTCTCGAGTAGCTGGGACTACAGGTGCCCACCACAACACCTGGCTATGTTTTTTTGTTGTTGTTGTTGCAGTTTTGGCTGGGGCTGGCTTTGAACCTGCCACCCTCTGTATATGGGGCCAGCACCCTACTCACTGAGCCACAGAAGCCGTCCCTCTTGGTACATTTTAAATAGGTGAAAAGAAAGGAATCTACTAGGGAAATGCTTTTTTTTTTTCTTTTAGAGACAGAATCTCACTTTATTGCCCTTGGTAGAGTGCTATGGCATCACAGCTCACAGCAACCTCCAAGCTTAGGCAATTCTCTTGCCTTAGCCTCCTGAGTAGCTGGGACTACAGGCGCCCACTACAATGCCTGGCTATTTTTTGTTGCAGTTTGGCTGAGGCCAGGTTTGAACCCACCACCCTCGGTATATGGGGTCAGTGCTCTACCCACTGAGCCACAGGTGCTGCCCTATGGAAATGCTTTTATCTTGATGATATCCTTAAGACAGGTGCTGGCCTGTAGTGAGCACTCAGAGATAAACAAAAGAAGAATGTTTCCTGTCATAATTAGTACTGCAAAATCGTTCATGACTTGGCACAAACACACCCTACCCCCAGATTAGGCACATAGGGGCTCTCAGTTCATTCCATGGAATTTATGCTCAGCTGCTGTTTTCCAGATTCCTTAGACAGAACTCCTAAGTAATCATTTGTTAGCTCTTCAGGAGCTGCTGTCTCTGTGTCTTATTTCCCCAGGCTTCCAACTTCTCCAAAAAGTCTGCAGGCTTATCTGCCTCTTCTCATCTTGTTCTACATGCCTTCCTGAAGCTGCCTAAAACCATGGATCATGGTGGGGAGGGTTGAGGAGAGGGAAATGGACAAATGTATGCACACAGAGCATGTTTCTACTGAAGATTTTATACATGGACCCTGACCCCATCAGGAAGTTTCCAGATAGGGAAATAAATTTCACATTACCATGTCACTTGAGCAATAATAAAGACAACTACAATATTGCACAGGACCAGAGAGGAGAACTTGAGAGGTATCTTGGAGGATGTGACTTTTGATCTGAGCCTTCCAGTTGACTAGAGGAAAGGGCATTGCAGGTGAAGGGACTGGAAGGTAAGTGGCCAGTGGACAAGGATGCAGGCTGAGCTCAGGGGAGCACGCACCCAGCAGTGGAGAGGAAGGTAGGAAGTGAGAAAAGGAAAGGGAAGAGGAAGGAGACAGACAGACTGCAGAAAGGGTGACCAGAGGATGCACTAATACTGTTGGAGGCCAGTGTACAAAGGGCTCACAATGGCTCGGGGCCTGTGGCTCAAGTGGGTAAGGTGCCAGCCACATACACCTAAGATGGCAGATTTGAATCCAGCCCGGACCTGCCAAACAACAGTGACGGCTGCAACAAAAAAATAGCCGGGCGTTGTGGCGGGCGCCTGTGGTCCCAGCTACTTGGGAGGCTGAGGCAAGAGACTTGCTTGAGCCCAGGAG